ACCCCATTGAAAACGTGTGGGCATGGCTCAAAAGAAGAGTTAACCTGAGGCAGCACGAAATACAAAACAAGGCTGATCTGTGGAGAGTGTTGTCTGATGAAGTATCAAGAGTGAAACCTACAGAAATTCGACGCCATTTCATCTCAATGCCTGGTCGCTTAAAGCGTCTAGAAAAAGCTAATTTTGATATAATTTGATGAGGAAATAAATAATGGGTTAAATATGCTTTTATTGTGCTCTTCCTAGTGTATATTGATATAATTATGCATATAATGTAGCTATCTTAGAGCGTTGTAATGTATGTGGAATTTGGCGCAATTGATCCTCTCAATTTCCCCCCTTAGCGAGTATATAGTATGCATAATATTGGTTGAAAGTAACATATTCTATCTTAGTTTTCAATAATACACGCATCTTAAGAATAAAATTTATTGTATGGTGATCTCTGTAGTAACTTACAGCCTCAAAATTTCTATTTGTTAGGGTACTTGATTCATAAAAAAAGTATTGGCGCAATTAATCACAACACTATACTAATTTCATCAAGGGTAAAAACTGTACTTTAATACGTCATAGTAAGTTGGACTAAATACCTGTTTATTGCTGTAGTTGCTTACTCCCCTTTTATTTCCTTCTCTTCGTCCAATACAACATTCTTTCCCATTCTATGCTTCCTGTACAATACGGCACACACAATTCCAAGGGCAATACCCACCAGAATGAATATGATAAGAATTATTAGGCAGAATACGTTGAATGCCACACGACTGCGACTGTACTTCCTCAGCGAATGCTCTACAAAGACAACTGTGGTTGTTTCAGTCGACGTCCCAACAGTCTTCTTTACGGTCTTGGTCACATCCTTGAATTTCGTAGTTGCATTGATGAGGACCTTCCTTCTTGGACGAATATCCATATCCGCCTTTCCTGGCTCAACGTTGAACATTCTGTAGGTTGATCCAAGCTTAGAGACCAGCATCAGCTGTGAGAGGTATCTTGTGGCATTATCTTCTATAAAAATCGCAACATAGGCGTATTCACCATCACCAACAAAAATCGACTTCAGGGCGAATGCAAATGGAAGCTGTGGATGCAGGTTGTGTCGTACAACACCAAAGAATGCTCCCAAATTGTTGCTATTATCGTCAACTATTGCTTTCACGTACTTGTCAGTGTGTTTCACAGGGAATGTCCTTGTTTTCTTCATAAAATTCACCAAATCAGATTTGTTATCTGCAAACCTGGTGTTGAGTTCGTCATAATTCATAAATGGCAAGAGAAACATCAGGGTGTTATTTGCGTTCGTAATCATCCTTTGGATGTATCCAGACTGTGTTTTGATCATAATTATGACTCTGTGAATGTCATCAATTAGAATATCTGTACTGGGCCTAAGAAATGAGGAGTTGACCATTTTGAAGATACATTCCGTTGCACCGGCCTCAACGGCTTTAAACTCTTCGTATTTCTTCATTGCCTGCATGTTGTACGCATTTTGCAGTTCGGTATCCACCCTCGTGGCAGCTGAGAGCACTCTCATTACTTGCAATGTAATTTGAAGCAAAATCATTGAATAAGGGTGATAAAATGGAAAATAATTTAAACTAGCCAATTACAGTAGTCAGGTTTGTTATAGGCGGATTATTGGTGTATTCATAAATCACTTTTTATTATCCAATAAATCACCATTTTCTACCACATCTTCATCCTCAATCACGTCCACGTCTTCAATCTTTCCCTTCTTGTACTTTTTGTACAGTTTCATGAACAATATTCCTCCTGCTACACACATTATCATGAATATGATTGTGAATGTAACCAATGCCCCTGTATTCATCCTAGCAAATCGCTCCTTAGCTGGTATCACATCCTTAACCTGAATTGTAGTAACCATTTCTACCCCACTGGTTATGGTGTTTACTTTTGTTAGTGTTTGTGTGATTTCTAGTTCCTTATCAATCACCTCACCTTTGTAAGTGAACATGGGCAGATCCCTCTCTTCAACATCCACTGATATAAATGTCGTAACGTAGTTCCTGAGCACAGAAATCAGTGGTGTTCTGTACGTCTGCCCATTATCCAGCGTAATGACGTAGTAGAAGGCCACCCTTCCACCATATTCACCAGCAAGCTTCCCTAATGGAATGAAGTAGTTCACAGCGTTTGCAATGTTCCTAATTGTATTCTTGCTTAGTGTCATATTTTCTCTAAAATACTTGGCATCAAATGTATCAGTGTCAATTAGACTAAGTATTTCACCTCTAAGGTGGTTAGGAATATACTTGAATTGAGCCAACATATGGGCCCATACACAGCATTCAGCATGTTTTACGTTCTTAAACATATTGAATGAGGTCAAAAAACTGTCCATCACATCATAATGTTGTCTTTGTGCAATTTGGCCAAGAACAGTTATACTCGTGCTAGTGAGAACGGAGAAGAATTCTTTCAAGGTGCTGTTGAAGTCATCTGTGTACAACTTGTCCGTATTTGGAATTGGAGTAGGTGAGTTGTTACGAAGGATGTGTCCTTCGACTCTTCTCACCCTGCTGTACTTGAAATCGTTGACAATGAGAAATTGGTTTCCTTCTTCAACTGTGTACTTGACTACCGCGTGGTTTCGGTTTGCGGCGTATATCTGTTGCAATCTCGTGTATCCTGGAAAGATTCTTGGCTTATCAGCACAGAGGACACTTGATAGGAAAATGTTCATAAAGGGGTAGGAAGAAAAATCATTGAATAATTTTGATGAGTTCGACTCTGCAAAAAGTGTTTTTTATAGGCCATGGCCAAGAACAGTGATAAAAACAAGACAAACAGAATTGCGATAATCACACCAGAATTATGTAAGCCAGATAAGTGTGCACATGAGTGTCGGAGACACTGTCCAGTAAACAGAATAGGGAAGGTGTGTGTTGAGGTGAAGGCTGTCTCTGCGATAGAGGAGTCTCTTTGCATAGGATGCGGCCACTGCGTGAAGAAGTGCCCATTCAATGCCATTGTGATCGTGAATCTGCCTAGTGAGTTGAGCAAGGACTGTTCTCACCGATACGGGGCAAACTCGTTCAAGTTGCACAGACTTCCGGTTCCGAGGCCAGGAAAGGTCCTTGGACTCGTTGGAACCAATGGAATTGGAAAGAGCACCGCCCTGAACATTTTGAGTGGGAAAATCAAGCCAAATTTCGGCAGCTTTGAGAGCCCGCCTGAATGGGCCGAGATTCTCAGAAGTTACAGGGGTAGTGAGCTACAAGGGTATTTTACCAGGCTGATTGAGAAGAACCTGACTACGAGTACCAAAATGCAGTACGTTGATAAAATACCAGCAATATTGGAGAAGAAGTTTGGTAGGAAGGATGTTACGGTGGATGAGATGCTGGAGAACTACGATGCAAGGGGAATGAGGGAGCATTACAGCAGGAAGTTTGAGATTGGGAAGCTGGGAAGCAGAAGACTGCGAGACCTGTCTGGTGGAGAGAGACAGAGGTTTGCGCTGGCTGTGACGTGCATGCAGAAGGCGGATGTCTACGTCTTTGACGAGCCAACGAGCTTCCTGGACGTGAGGCAGAGGCTGACGGCAGCCAGGGAAATAAGGCGACTTGCTGAGGAAGATGGAAAGTACGTGATTGTGGTAGAACACGATTTGGCCATTTTAGATTTGATGTGCGACTTTGGATGCGTTCTCTATGGCCAGGCAGGGGTGTACGGTGTCATAAGTGCCCCATTTTCAATCAAGAACGCAATCAACATATTTCTGGATGGATTCATTCCTACTGAAAATATGCGATTTAGGGCAAGTGCCCTCAAATTCAACATCCAGGACTTGGATGAGCTTAGGAAGGTGAACAAGCAGCAGTTTCAGTACAACAGCTGCATTAAGACGTATCAGAGTGAGAATGGCAGCACATTCAGACTTGTGGTGGAAGCAGGGCACTTTTCAAATTCTGAAATTGTTGTTCTTTTGGGGGAGAATGGAATGGGGAAGTCGACGCTCGTTGGGCTGCTTAGCGGGGCCATTGGCCCCGATGGAGAGGGAAATGGGCTCGGAGTCACCTCCTCTGTCTCGGTGAAGCCACAGAAAATAATGCCCAAATTCAGGGGCACTGTCTCTGATTTGTTTACGAAGAAGTTGAAGGGAAAGCAGCACGATGCCACATTCTGTAACGAGGTGATCAAACCACTCAAAATCGACTATTTGATGGAGAGTCAGGTTGAGTCTCTTTCTGGTGGAGAACTGCAACGAGTTGCAATTGTGATCTGTTTGGGGAAGGAGGCCGACCTCTACTTGATTGACGAGCCAGCTGCCTTTCTTGATTCTGATCAGCGAATTGCTGTCAGCAAAGTGATCAAGAAATTCGTATACAGCAGAAACAGGGCAGCATTCATCGTAGAACACGATCTGATTGTTGGGACGTATCTTGCTGACCGTGTTGTTGTCTTTGATGGGAAACCAGGAAAGGAGGCCACTGCTAGTGCATCAATGGACGTCAAGGATGGGATGAATGTCTTCCTCAAGCAACTGGATGTGACATTCAGAAGAGACCCAACCAACTTCAGGCCACGAGTCAACAAGCCCGATAGTGCCAAGGACAGGGACCAAAAGGAATCAAACAACTACTATTACGCATAGAGATAGACGACTATTCTACTAAAAGGATATTGGTTATTGTTATAGGACTAATTGGGTAGTTATAGAGGCCAAATGCCTACCCCAGTAATGGACTATAACTACCCCTAGTAATAAATAACAGTCTAATTTATTCCACTGTTCTGGGTGTGTATTTCTACGGTGACTATTTCAATATTCTCCTCATTCTTCAGGTAGTGGTTTATTCCACGAAGCATTGCATCGTATTCTTCAATGAGAATGTGATCCACGAGGATCTTCACGTTCAGTGCCCTACAATTCACGCCCACTGACCAGCAGTGGAGTCCAAGCACCTGAACCACTTTTGGGTGGACCAGGAGGACTCGTCTGATTTTATCAAGGTCAACTGCACTAGGAGACCCCTCACTCAAGATAAACAGGCCCTCTCGCACTACGGGAACAGTGGACCAGATCACAAGAATCACAAAGATCACTGTACAACATACGTCAGCCAGAACGTAGATTGGTTCGTACCAGACTATTCCAGCAGCAATCAATACGCCTGTGGACTGGATTATGTCACCAATGACATGGGAATCAGTTGCCTTCATATTCAGGTGTCTTCTATGTTTTGGATCTGTTGCAACGTAATCAGCCAGAAACTCAGATGAAAATGAGAAGTTGTCAAATGTCTTCGTGTAGAGCGTATTATGCTCCTTTTCAACGCAATTGTCCTTTCCATCATCATTTTCTACTGATCCATATCCTGTAAGCTTATTTAGTATTTTGTTGATGTCACAGTGGAGTATTCCGTAGCACAGAATGTTGACAAATAGTCCAACTAGAGCAACTGCTGTGAAGCCACCACTTTCAATCTGCTTGGGACTTTGGTATCTATAGAATGCCTCAAGCAATAAATAGAGAGCAGCAATCCAAATAAGAAGGACGGTTCCAAGTGCACCGAGTATTTCGTATCGGTGGAATCCAAAGGTGTATTTGGAAGTGGGAAGTTTCTGGGACAGTCTGATAGTGATCATTGATAGAATGAATCCACTCAAATCAACGAGAAGGTGCAGTGCATCAGCAAGTAGAGAGAGGGAATTGGTCTTGACGTGACCGTATATTTCTAGTAGCATGAATCCGAATACTATTCCGGTGATGATC